TAAAAAAAATACATTATCAAAGTGATTCCAAAAATTAGTTTGTCACATGGTCAATATGCAGGAACCAACAAGACATCTAACATGCCACATTGACATACGATTGTCTTCAATTTTAAAAACCAAGTTGTAACTGAATGTGGATGTCAATATGACACTTAATATGCCACATCAATGTATCTATGTTAGTGAATTTAGTTTATCGATAGGGTGATGAAAGATCTAACTTAACCAACAATATCTTCATTTTCAATGATTATTTTTTATTTTAATAATTTTAAGAGCTTTTTTTTACAACAATAATTTTAAGAGCTAAATTGGCACTTTCATTACGATTCAAAGAATAAAATAATGATCCATTTATTTGTTGTTATATTAATCCTTTTTATTAATATAAATTTATGAAAGATAGATATAAATTAATGTAAATATTAAATAATAGTTTAACTGACTTAAAAGCTTCTGTAATTCTGTCAACCCAAAAAAAAAAACTTTTGTAATACTTTTATATATAATACACATAGATAAATAAATTAATTTGTAACTGTACATATAAATAAACTTGTTTAGGTTTTCTCATGAAGACATTAGGTTCAATTCATACTTCATAGAAACCAAAAGAGTTGGGGGGAAAACTGCAAAGCAGCATAGTATCTTTCTGATTTCTGACTCCCAAGACATATTTTCTCTTTTATTCTGTTCTTATTGTTGGATATTCTTGATACATAAAAGTTATTCCCGAGCCTAATTAATCTTAGTCAAATTCAGCGATATTCTACTTTTTTTATTCTTCTCATTTTTTCAAGACTTGAACTTTAAATATTGTTCATGAGCTAAAATTCTTTATCACTTAAACTAATCAACAATAGTTTTTATTCCTTTCTTTCATAGAGCAAAACTAATCAACATTAGTCTTTATTCCTTTCTTATAATTCGTTTTTTCCCAAGTGGTCGTACTGCATTGACTTTCCCAAGTTGAGGAGCACCAACAATTTGAAGCCGAAATTATGCTTGTTCTCATGGCGAATTCGGGATTGAAGATAAGCATATTCCCCGCGTGATTAGTGGAAAACTTACATCACAGTTTGTGCTTTGGAAAAGCTTTGGGTCAAAACATTGCAAGTAGTTGAAACTTCAAAGATGGATGTAATAATATTCACAAACATGGATGAATAGCTTATTCTTGCTTAATCGCTTTCTAGGACATGCTTCGGAGGGGAACGCGTTAAGAAATTATGAAAAATCTTATAAAAATATTACATTGTTTGTCCTTTAAGAATGAAAAGTAGGTCAGACCCGTCTATGATTTAGAGATGTTATGACAAAATATAACTTTGAATAAATTATCATGAATGCTAGTTAATTTATATTTTAAAGCAATTTATTATACACGAGTTAAATTCAGTTCTTATAAAATCTCACATTTTTTTTTATCTTGATGTTAAATTATCATGATGCTAACCCTTACATAAACTTGTAGTTTAAGTCTTTTTTTTTTTTTTTTTTATAAGAGTCAAGCCGGACTTTTAAAAAAATTTACGACAAACAAGTCAAAAGCATAATATATTTTAAATACATATATACATGTCTCCATATTAGTGAAATATTGTCCGTTTTGGGCTCAAGCCCTCACGGTTTTGCTTTTGGATATCAAGACAATTGTGTGTATATAAACTCATGACCATCCTCTTGTTTGAACGATGTGGGACTTTGCTTGCATCCCAACAAGTGCTCACTCACGCTCAGAGTGCTACACACCTCCTAACCCAACTTTCGACACAAGGGATCCCAAACTTGGATCCACCTGCCAACCATCATACTCGTTGAGCCACCTGCCGCTTCTCATGATAGCGAGACACGACTCCTAACTCGACTTTCGCCACAAGGGATCCTCAAACAAAGGATGAAACACATACTCGTTGAGCCGGTCACCTGATCAAACCATCAGCTCTGATGCCACTTGTTGTGCACCGGGGGTTATCACACATATACACATGTCTCCACATTGGTAAGATATTGTCCGCTTTGGGCTCAAACCCTCACGGTTTTGCTTTTGGACACCAGTCAAAAGGTCTCTCAACTAATGAAGTCAATTGTACGTATATAAACTCATGATCATCTTCTTGTTTGAACGATATGAGACTTTGCTTGCATCCCAACAAAGTCTAACATACTTTAATCATTTTCACCCCTTAATTGGCCTATTTTGTCATCAAATTACCCAATAAATTTTTTTTTCCTTTTTCAAAACCTGTTAACCATAGGTTGATGAAGAATGGTTTTTGTAATTTAAAAAAAGCTTAATGCATAATGTTAGCTATATATGTTAGAAAACGCAATAATAAATTTTACTCTCTAAATAATTTTTTTTTAGAAAAAATTTATTTAGAAAAATCACAAATATGTATTTTGCAAAAAAGATATTGCAAAGGTTTGTGTGATTGACATTCCTTTTGGTTGGATCTGTTCACTTTCCCTTTGTCAGGCTTTCAGCATTAGAAGCATTCTAGTATATGAACCATTATACCAAGAATTAGAAGCAAAACAAAAACGAAGCTACAGGCTAATAACTTTTGTTTTCGTATCAAGAAGCGTTCAAGTTTATTGATGATTTTGGAAAACTCATTCAAAAGGAAGGTTCTCTTGATGAATTAAGAAACGCATCTAGCTGTCAGAAAATATGATTCTTGGCTGTTGCTTCCTCCGATTTTCATATTTATAACAAATGTTATAAAAATTAAATTGAAGATATCTACCAATAAAATAAATTTTAAAAATAAATAATTAATAATTAATCTTGAAGCATATACATATATATATACACATTACATATATATTATAATTTAAACTTAAGACTTTAGGTATATTACTCCAATCAACTCTCATTATCAAATGGTCATGGTGGTTTAAATATAGCTTAATTTTATTAAAATTGTAACTAAATTATAATTAAATAATATCCAAAGAAAAAATATAACCGATTGAAGGCATGAGTATTGAGTATGACCGCATGAACCAACAAGTCTTAGTATAAATTCTAAAGATTGCTTATAGCCACACATTATAAATCTATAACTTCAGTTCACTTCCTTCCAATTCCATGCGTGCAAAGTGCCACTATTGAGGACAAAGTGCTTTCATCTATCTTGTATATTTGGTACATTTTTCCCCCTCTTTTCAAGAATCATTTTTTTCTTCTATTTTCTTTAAAAGCTGAAAAGTTTATCCCGAAATTATCCCATATGCATAATAATTATTATTTATCACACGAGGAAGCAAAAGAAAGCATAATATAACCAGCTAGCTTCCATGACCACAATGAAATTAGAATTAAGGCCCTATTAATTTAAAAAGTAGGGAGTTTTTTTTATAAAAAAATCAACATTTAATTTTTTATAATTCATTTATAACAAATATAATTACAAACAATATTCGAGACGTTAAATTTAGTCCGCACAATATATAATTCTAAATTCCTTGAACTGCATGACATTATTATATGAAAATTGATCCATTAAAGAATGATATATTAGTAACATATGTCCATTTGCATAAATTAAAAGTAGATTCAGTTTTCTCAATATCTGTATGTATCTATCTATCCATTAATATATATATATATATA